AATTTTAATATATTTTTAAATTCATCCTTTATGCATTTATCAAGTCTTTTATTGTAATCGTTGCTTGAATTAGTACTCATAGTAAGTTATACAAAATCTGAAAAGTTAAAACTTATAGATCTGGTTAGTGAGACAAAATAACTATAATAACCTTAATAGTTTAGCACAGATGGTGAAATAGAATAAAAAACCATTATAATTCAGAACTATAGTAGCTCATTCAAAATTCTAAGTAAACGTTATGACACAATGTCTTGAAATTTTCACGAAATATATGAAGTGAAAACGAAATAAAAATGTGCTCTAACAAAATTCGTATATTGACATCATCATTATCATAATGTAACGTATATAATAAAAAGAAAACGAAGAAAGAGAAGAACTGTTTTGCTTACTCAATTGCGAAATAATTTTGAAAACAAGAATGGAACAAAGGAAAAGTACTGAAATGAGAACGTAAGATTTAAACTTCACTCAAAGAGATTTTTTATCTTATCCGAGAACATCGGCGGCACTTGTAGGTGAATGTCTCACATAAAATGCTTCACCATCTCTCTTACCCTCAGCATGTTCTCATTAGGAGCCAAAATATGTGCAATTTACGCTGGTATTGTACGATTGACTCCGCTACTTAAAACTTGTCTATTTCGCATCAACCGAATCATCTTCGATAAACTTTTGTTGACTTTCCTTCTTCGTTGAATATCTACTTCCACCAATAAGTTTAGGCGTCTCACTACTTTTGTTCCCCAGCTATAAGATATACCAGATAAAATATTACTGATTTCTTAGACTATCTATTCAGTAAAGTTCATTTTCTAATATATACCAAGATAAATTTAAGTAAAATTTTTTGGCTGTTTGAAATTTTTATGAAATATATGGGGTGAAAACGAAATAAAAATGTGCTCTAATAAAATTCGTCTATTGACATCATCATCATCATAATGTAACGGATATAATAAAAAGAAAAAGAAGAAAGAGAAGAATTGTTTTGCTTACTCAATTGCAAAGTAATTTTGAAGACAAGAATGGAGCAAAGAAAAAGCACCGAAATGAGAATGTAAGATTTAAACTTCACTCAAAGAAATTTTTCACACTAGCGGTAACTGTAGGTGAATGTCTCACATAAAATGTGAACTATAATTATTTTTCGCTAGATATAAAATTTGAATTAGTTCAAGAATAAGGTCATTTTCTGTCCGAGCTAGCAGCGTAGTCAGGATCAGTGGGTGGGCTTTGCCCCAACTTTTTTCAAAGTGGTAGAAATATAAGCAATTTTCGCAGAGTAATGTGAATTATACAACTTTGAGTGGGAAAACCAAGCTACGCCTCTAGCCCGATCATCCACATCCAGTCACTTTAACTATCATCCAGAACTTAGTAGATGAAAAAAGAGAAGGAGATATAGGCCACTAGGTAATTAAAATTATTAACACTTTCACTTACCAAAGTTGTCTTTTCTACAGAGACTAAACTTTTCGTTTTTTCTTTTTCTGACTTTTCCGTAAAGTCTTGTTCCAATCCAAGTTATATTCGAACTCGAAGAAGACTCTTGTACTCTCACTTATATTCAAATTGTGAATGTAATGAACGCATGCAATGAACATGAACATGAAAGAATAATTCCGCTAAACACTTTTGTACGTTACATGAGTTGTCTATGTTGAATTCAGATATAAATGACAGTGTGAGAGTCTGGTTCGAATCAGTGAATGGAGAAGAGTGAAAAAAATGATTCCCAAAACGACATCATCTTTTTTAACAGTTCACAGGTTCTCAAAACCGCATTTTCGACATGCATTTAGAATTCTAATTGTATGACAGATGCAAACATGAAATAAGGTTTTTCTCGAGAACGGTATTTGAACTCGTTCTCGGAATATAATAGTCTCAGAGAACGATTTCCTACAACCGCATAAGATTTTTCATAATACATCTAACCGTTTTCCGGGGTCTAGATACCTAAAAGGTTTACCAGGAAATTTCCAGAAACAAAAAGGGTATCCTCGGATACTCTTTCGGTTTCCGAATCGATTTCACATACGCCAAGAGGTATGAGACGAATCGCGCTGGTTGTTCGAGCGGAACAGGCGAATCGAGCTGCTCACTTGAGCGAGGCAGACCACTTGCGCTCGTAGGTTGAGCTGTTTTCTAAAATAAATAGATTTCGATAAAAACTATATTGCAGTGCACAAGCGCTCTTACGGCGAGCGCGCGCGTATTTTCTCCACTCGCCAACGGTTTCATAAGATAATTCTTTAGTTTCTGAAAATACATTTTTAGGCTTCTGAAAATTTTTTTCGAAGACCCAATGGGTTCCGGAAGTTCGGAAAACAGAACAGTATTATCAAAAAAGCATCAGGATTTACGAAGTCTGTTCTGCACCATTCTAGGTTTTCAAAAGAGTTTCAGAACAGATTCGGACTTCCAAAAAAACGCTTTCTTTTAAAATGGCAATAGCTCCTTATTGAAACAGTCTACAAGTGACAACAGCTTCTTCCTACCATTTATTGTAAGTGCTAACAGCTGATTGCTGCCACTACGTCTCAAAGCCTGAAGAGAGTTCTACAACTTCCATACAAACAAGATCTTCCTGTGATGTCGAAGTTTAGAAAAATGATCAAAATTCTAAGAGCTTCGAAAAAATGGCCCATTTTTGAAAATTTCATCACATCCTCCATTTTCTCTATAACTTTTGATCGAGTAACTGAAATGAGCGCAAACTTTTCTTCGTAACAGGACCAGACGGTCTGCACATCTTATAAAAATCTCACTTTTATCTATTTCGTGCATACTGAGATAAAGGGCACAAAACGAAAGCTCGAAACAACTTCTGTTACATTTGAACAGATCGCACTAGTTATTATAGCTCTTTTATATACCATCATCAAATAAGCATACACATGTTTGAATATACCTTACATACTTTACTCGCTTCGTTACCTCTACTGTAATCTGAATTTCTCCTGTTGGAAAATCAGAGACTCTTCGACGTCAAGTTTTCCAAGTGCATTTCCTGAACTGATATTTATATGATGATGACAACATCATATAACTATCAAGAATAGTGGCGTAACCAGAATTTTTCCACAGGGGGAGCTCAGCTCCAAAAAAATTCAAAAACGTATCGGAGTTAGTGTAATTTTTTTCGAAGGATTAGCCTTACCTCGAAATCTACACAGTCATACCCTAGTCATCGATAATCATCGATAAAGGAATCAGACAAGAATCTTACTGAAAACTTATATAGATCCTATAAGATCCAAGTAAGAATCTTATTACAGTCTTATAAGATTCGTATATAAGAAAACCCTCGAAAGTGGCACGACTTTCGTAAGAATCTTATAAAAATCTGATAAGACATTCGGCAGAACTTCATAAGAAACTATTAATGATTTTGGTGTTATTCTTATTTGTTTCTTATGAGCATCTTATTCAGAAAACTGCTCCACATGTTGACCTAAGTGGACAAGAATTTTTTTCGTTTTTCTACGATCACACTTTTGTGAAAGGTAGTTCATCACTCGTTCTAAGTCTCTACTGCCTGTAAACTGGCAATATTCTTCACTGCAGGACGAGAATAAAGTTTGAAAAAATTAAACTATATACAGGGAAAATAGAGGGCACGATATCACACAATCTGCATGTTTGCATAAATTACGCTTATTCGAACTGGTCTTAAGCAAAATACGAAACTTTCGATCTTTTTTCCTCTATAAAGGTGGCATTCGATTTAGACTCTCTAAGTGGTAGAACATAGAGCAGCTCGAGTACTAGTAATATGCATCAAAATCCTTTATATACTAGTCTTGATAAAGCGCTAGAAGCAATCACAAAAGACCCTTTTTGTATACTACCCACATGAGTCAGTATTGGATAGCAAGTTATTACACTCATTACTACACATCAAGATAGATAAGAATAACGTGAGAAGTCTTATTACTTTCTTATGAAGTTTTTACAAATCTCTTATCAGATTCTTATAGGACTCTTACGGAATTCGTGGCACTTTCGAGCGTTTTCCTATATAAGATTATTATAAGATTCGGATAAGATTTCCATAAGAATTTCCAAACGTTTTATCTAGCACAGATGATCGGACTGTAATTTTCAAAGAAAACGCTGTTTTTTTCGTAAAGCTAAGAAAATCTTTAGGGAAGCTGAGCTGCCCCTGCAGCTACGCCACTAATCAAGACTTTTGCTTGTATTGCATTCTTTCTATACATCGCCAGATGTACTCACACACATTTACTTTTGATCTTCGGCACAATGACCTTATGGACCATAGATCAGTAATTCAGTAATTTTTTATTTATCTAGTGAAGGAACAAATACTATTTACAGGAAAAGTTTTATCAATTTAATCATATGTTTACTTTTTATATTCAATTAATAACTTCAATAAATCGACCTCTTGTTTCAAATCTGGATCGTTCACTTCTAACATTTCTGTTTGAAAATAATCCAAAAATTTTTTAAATAACTGTTGATAAATATCAGATACTACTAATGGTGATGATTGTCGTTCCCATTCACTTAATGTATGTGGAAATAAAAGCTTTTTATCAATATAATTGAATGTTATTGTTATAGGTTTACGATTAATATTATGTTGACGTTCATTAACAATCCATTGCTTCAATAATGTAACATAATTAATTAATAATATTCCTTTTCTTATACCTGTATTCGAATAATAATTTGTTGAACATTGTTGATCATTTATAATATCAACTGATCGTTTTTCTTCATATATTTTATTTAAACGATCTTCATATGTTACGGTTAAACGTATATCAGATATATTTAAATTCGATTGATTTTTCTTCTTCTTTAATTTAATAAGAACAATACCACCACGTGTTTCATTATCTTTTCTTCTCGATGGAAATAATGTACTTATTTTCATTATTTCATTTGTTGATTGTTCATATTCTGGTGAACCATAAACATGATCAATTTCAAATTGATTTGATTCAAATTTTAATATTAAATTAAATACTAATGGTGTTATAATTAAATCAAAATCAGTATCTAACAATTGTATAAAAGATTTTGAATTACTAACAGAAAAAAAATTAGCACCACGTTGTCTAGTTATCAATGATATTAATTTTGTATTAAAATCAATACCAATACCAATAAATGTCATATAAATATGTCGATGTGCCAATTGTTCAATACTGGATATAAAAGATTCTTCACTTAATTGACCGGTATTTGGTTGAGCATCGGTCAAAAATATAATACGATTATCATAATCATCTGTTAATAATAGTGGAGTAAATAATGATTCACTAGTACAAATACCAGCACTCATATCTGTACCACCATCTGCTTGAATTTTTAATAATTGTTTTTTTAATATTTCAATATTAATATCTTTTAATTGTATAAATTTTTGAAATATTTTAGCATCTGTATTAAATGTAACAATAGCTAAACGATCAACTGTTTTTAAATGATTTAAAATTTTTATTACAACATCTAGTGTAATTTGAATTTTTGATCGTGATTCATCATTACTTTTGTTAACTAATGGACGATCATAATAATAACGATTAAATGATGCTGACATTGATCCACTTACATCGATAACAATAACTAAATTTAATGGATTTCGTTTAAATGTATTTGTACGTAGATTAGAATTAAAACCAACACTCATATAATATTCGCACGATTCTTGATCTAAAGTATTAATAAATTTAAAATTTAATTAAGAATTTTTTTCTAACTCTTTATCTCTAAATTTATTTTAAATACGTGATAATTATTTCATTATTCAACGACTAGAGAGAGAAAGATTATACAAGATTTATTTAAAGACTTCACCAGTTTATTTAGGAGTTTAACATCATCAGGAAAACGTTTTAAAAGTCAAACTTCTAGTATTAATGCGTGAAGTTACGTCACACGTAGGAACGTGAATAGTTGACCGTATAGAAAAGGACAAGTATCACTCACCAGGAAACATTCCTAACTGCTTAACCACGATTTCTTTCAAACATCCATCAATCGATAACATATATCGAGATAAAAAGTCAAAAAGGATTTATCCCCATGGAGCTCTCCTATATAAGAGGGAAAAATGTGTAACCAGATTAGAATTCGAACTAAGGATTTTGACATTTCATGTCTCTGACCACTAAACTATCTGGTCGACATCACTGTCCGTCGTGATGGGGACAAAAAGTTAAAAATTTTTATTTGTAACTAAATTTAAAAGTTATTCTGAGCTCCAAAATACATAACTTAGATAGTTCAGAATGCTATATTCAAAAGGAGAAATGTGTTTCCATCCGTAGAGAGCATTTAGTTAATAAGTTATACCGTAGTCGACCTAAATTACGAAAATCTTATATACTACAATCGATAGAAATGCATATTGTGATTATAAGATTTTTAAAATTAGCAATGGAAGAATCTTTTAATCTTATAGTGCCTTATAACAAATATTCAACACTTTCCATTCATCCTCCAGGCAACGAAAAAAGCGTTCTTGTATTCTTTTTCAACTATAATAGTCGTATAAGTTTTTATGGAATGCCTATTGCCACCTTCGGAGCTGTCATCCCACTGAGATATTGCCACCTCCAGGTGTCAGTACGCCTATTGCCATTTTCTAGCGTACCACTTTGCCCGAAGGTAGCAACAGCCACCAGCGACACCTTCTGAAGGTGACAACACCTCCTTAGTGGCACCTCTCGAGTTCGAAATAGCGCCACAAATTTTATAGTTATCTTATAACCACAGTATGCATTTCTATGCATTATGAAATTAAAATTTCCATAAGATTCTTATAATAAAAGTATTAGAATCCTTTATAAGATTGAATCTCTAGGATAATGACTTTCCTTAGACTCCTTCAGAATAAGCCGTCTTTCTTTCGCTGGGAATATTGCACAATCACTTTTTCCATCTTTCACTTTTCGTCGAGTCAACGATTTGACGAAAGAAATTGACCAATAAGACTCATCCATGTGCGCGTACGGAGGAAAAAGTAGAAAAGATTTGCAACCGGTGGAAATTTTTACAAACTTTTCTCCTTCCTGGTAAATTTATAGACTCACGGATAGATTCTGGATTTCTGGGTGTGACCTTCGAATTCTCGCAGGGCTTTTTACTATCATGAAAAATGAGATATGTATCTTTCATTATTAAGAACCTTTTCCCTGTTTCTCATGCCCTGTAATACTTCTAAAGGTAATTTTACTCGATAAAGCTTGCTGGGATGAGTATAAGGAAGTGTTTTAAACGATCCCTAGTAAAACTTCTTATACTCAAAATCTTTTGCTTCTTTAATCTTTCATTCAAGATCTTCAGTTCTTGAAATTTCTTTAATTTCATCAGTTTTCTTATCAAGATCTTCAGTTCTTGAAATTTCTTTAATTTCATCAGTTTTCTTATCAAGATCTTACTTAAAAAATTCAAGAACATCTTGGTATAGGATGTTTCACCAGGGATCAAAAGTTTTTCCACGATTTATTTTTTTTTCTGTTTTGTAATATTGTTATTTTAAGTTTCTGAATAGGCTTTACGAATATTCAAAAGTGACCATCTAGTCAGAGAAATACGGTGCCGAAAAACCTCATGTTTTACTATAATGTGTCAATATTACTTACTTGGTTCTGAAAATGAATTATTATACACGGTGGCCATCGAATATGTTGGACAAAATAAATTTTCACATACAGATTGATTATTATCACTATTACGAGTATCAAAAAAATAATCATAGAATAAACCTTCATATGTTAAATCTGTAACAACTGGTAAATATTTATTGCGAATATTTTGACGAAAAATATTTATATCTTTACTACCACCAACGGAAAGTCCGAGTGGAGCATCATCTGAAAGTTGTAATCCTCCTGATAGCATCGGAGAAGACTGGATCTTATTAATGGTGCCGAATCGAAACGGTAGTGGAAATGGTCTTTTAAATTGAGTCGATGAACGCTGGCTACAGATTGTTATGGGGGTAGCCATTGTTGAATTATTAATCAACATTGTTTCTGTTTCATTGGATATGTTTGTTGAATTTAATTTTGTTGATAAATATAGAAATATAAGTGTCACTATCCGTAAGTTAAAATTAGTTATCATTTTTAACTACGATAATTAATACCTGACAGTTTATTATTTGTGCTGGAGTTTTTGAATTATTAATCTAATAGACATGTTTTTCTATCGCACAGAACATAGTATATATAGGTGAATAGAAAACAATATGAGTATAGTCGTCGCCTGTACTCTATTCATTCATGATAGTACAGTACATCTTTTTTCTTTTCGTCCGTCTTTTTTCTAGAAAGATCATTTTCTTTAGAAGAAATACAAAAAGAATAATAAATAATTTCGACCACTTTCAGACCGACTAACAACTAAAACAATATTTTAATGACATTGGATTCTAAGATATTCTTTTTTCTTGTTGTTTATATCACCGCATTACTTCGATTAAAGAATATGATATTCAAAAATGCAAAACATCTATTTTTGTCTTTGTCTTGCATGAAAGCAAACCTTACTATACAAAAAAAATCTTTTAGGGAACCCTAGTGAATGTACTTGCGGATGGGTACTTGGTTACTTGCTCATTTCTTCGGGTACTTGACATGCATTTTAGGAACAGCGCAAGTATTTTTCATAGGACAGCACTTGCCACTACTTGATTTACTTGTCAAACTTCTCACAAGTACTTTCGGGTTATTTGCAGATCAAGTAATTCAAGTACTTCATTTACTTGGAGAAAAAGCCAAGTACGTTGGACAAAACTTGCAAGGGTACTTGGGGAAGTACTTGTATGCAAGTACATTCACTAGGGAAGTCATCAAAATTCGTATCATCAAATTTATTCACTGGCGGGCGAATGAATTCGAAAGAAAATTGCGTACATGTTCAATCTGTCTGAAAAAAAGAATGTTTAACTACCGTAGTCATAAAAGAAAGAACATATACGTATTACACTTGGCACCATTTGATATGTTCGATAAACAGTGTCCATAATAGAAATATTTTAGCTACTTGTCTTCATATAAGTCTCATATTCTTCTTTATTGGATTCAGGACTAAAATTTGCATAACAAGAGCTCAAAACATTATTCCATTCATTTGCAGTTAAGAGACAATGTCTGAGAAAATTAGACAGTGAATCGACAGGTGGTTATACTGAAAACAATCGATTGAGCTGAAAGGATTCCGCCGTTTTTCGTAAACGACATCAGATTACTCCTAATCTGAAACTCTCAAGTATAATGTTTGCAGTTTTCATTCAAGTA